AGAACGAACCTGAAAATGTGAACTGCTCAGGCAACGACCAATCTGTCGAAACAAAGGGACCATACAACGTTGAAACTCAGGAAGCTGAGTAGCTTCCAGCACTTCCTCAAGCTCACCCAAAAACATAACCTCCTTTGAACTATTTGTTATTGGCCAGTACTTAAGCAAGCCCCTAATAACAGTATCGGCAAGCTTGCAATCCTTCTCCACAAACTGCGTGATGCAATAAGTTAGTTGCTGATGGTACATTGGCAAGCACTTTGGTTTGTGAAGCGGGATGAGAGCCCGAACTAGGAAAAGCTTGTGCTCTTCCTTTAATGGCAAAGCAAATCCATTTATAATGCTCCCCAAGATCTCTAAAAGCTCCGCAATCCCGTTATGCTTCTCGGTTTCGAAAATAAAACGGTAGAATATGTTATTTATCGCCTTCCTAATAAAAGGGCGGTGCACCATGAACTTGCCGTAAATGCGGTGAAGGACAGTCTTCAAATACTCCCTCTCTCTAGGATCTTCAGAATCAAAGAGATCTAACAGTTTTAGGACAAAAGCGTGATCGAGGTAGCGTTTTGCGAGCTTAGCATCTGTCTCGGGAGAAGTTACGAACTTGAGAAGGAATTCGTACACGATTTGCAGGTGAGGCCATGCGGGGTCCATTAGAGGCTCCTCTTCTTCCACATCAAAACCATTTAAAACTTTGTTTTCGGTAGATTGAGTGGGGAGAGTGCGGAATAAATTTGCAGACACCATTCTGATAATATCTTGAAGAACATTTTCCCCGAATTTTCCATTTGCAGAGGCAATATAATCGACGAGCTCCACTAGAGTCTGCCGTTTGATCTCTTTCTCTTTCACATCTTTTGTGGGGTCAGTGAAGTCGAATACTTGACAACACAAGTTCATCTTTCTGATGAACAAGTTTTGCTTCTCGCCATTCGGAACATCTCTAAAACTAGGTAGGGCCTCAAATGGCATGGGTCCATTGAGCCCGTATGACTTAGTATTAAATGGATCGTGCAGTTTATTCACATGATTTGTCCCAGAAAGAATTGCACCGTTTGAATTGCCTGCTCGGGAGCCATTGTTTCTTGAAGTAGTTGCATTTGGGGGGACGTTAGAGGATCCTCCATCACGGATTTCTGCTAACTTGCCCTGCTTCCTTGGAAGCTTATTCAGAAAATTTTTTATCATGGCTTTTTCTTCAAGTGAATCACTAACAGCACCAATCAATTATCAGAAAACCAGATGAAACAAGTCCAAGAGGAAAGCAGTTATTGTTAATTCTTATTGCTGGATAAATTTATCGAGGATCTAGCTCGCTTTATAAAGATTGTGCCTTGCCAGTAATAGAATCTTCATCTGGTTCAACAAAAGGAGAAAAGAAGGAAATAAGTGAATTAACACCAATAAACCCACATCACATAATTTTGCAGAAGCTACAACGATTTAGATAACAAGCCCTAAACAAACCAGATGACTTGAGCAGTAATAATCTAACCAGATTACCATTAACCGTAACTTGGATTTCCATATGAGGAAAAAAAAAGTTGAGAGATTTGAACTCACCTCAGGCTCGGGGCATTTTTAGACATATTTTTCACCAAGATTCACACAGATTAACCAGATGAAAAGGGTGGTCAGGATCTGCACGATCTACAAACCGCAGCTAGCATTTCTTTTGTCGAGAATCGCCTATATGAAGATTATTAAAAAGTAGTAGTAAACCAGAAACAGATACCACTGTATCTGTACCACTGAACCTAAGTACCTAACACACCATAAGTTTAGAACTAATCATCATCATCATTAAGTGTAAATCTATGGAGGAAAAGACTACGGGTCAGCAGGGCTAAGCCCTTGTTAGTTGGGGCAGTGATTGAACAAGAAAATAGGGTCCCAGGGGAGAGAGAGAGAGAGAGAGAGAGAGAGATGGGCTCAATAGAAAGAGGGAATGAATCAATTTCCACTGGTTGTCTTGTTCTTGATGATATATTTTTTTATTTATTTATTAATTTCCTCTGCGTTAAAGACCTCGACCTTTTTTTCTGTTGGCCTGTTTTACCTTTCACCTTGGGTCCTCTGTCCCGTGCCTTTCTCATTTTTGTTCTCCTCCTTTTCTCTTTGCTTTATTATTTGTTTCTTTTTCCATTTTCTACGTTCACTAGTCCATATTTTAAAATGATAATAGAATTTTTATTCTTTTTTTCACATTTGTTCTCCAACTTTTCTCTTTGTTTTTTTCTTTTTGTGTTTCTTTTTCATTTTTCTATATTCACTAGTCCATATTTTGCAATGGCAGTAGAATTTATATAGCATTATATGCCTGCCACTTTAACGTATCTAGTATCAACTCATTTTAGGACTACAGAAAAAAACGAGCCATATGATCATGTAGTACATTATTCTCCTAGGAATTTCTGGTTAAATTAGCCATATCTTTATCTAATGCAATCATTCAGCAAATTGATTTCTATATGCTGTATAATTTATGTTTAAATTCCATGTTTCGACATTTGAAATGGTCGCAGTCAGAAATGATGTGTCAAAAACCTTATCTTTTAATGGAAAACTTGCAGATGATTGGATCATTAAACTTTGAAACGTAGACCAGATGACAAAGATGAAAACGAATTTAAGTGCTGAGTCATTGGTTTTTTGACACTTGAGGAAAGTGGGAGCAAATTTTGGTTTGTAATCAATAGAATGTTAGCAAGTGGGGACATTTTATATTGCAAGAAAACCCAAATCACATCAGGAGAATGAATGCCATGAATTATAAGTATTAAGGTTGAAGTAAAAAAAAAAATAACAAACAAACAAACAAATTGCTCGTTAGCTAACAAGAAAGACAGTTAAACAAAGCAGATACAAGGGAATCAAACATTTTTTTACTTCAGGCACAAGGAAATCAATCATTTTTCTCTTAAATTGAAAAGAGAAAAAGGGCACCCACACAATACCGAGATCCACAATTATTATCCACCAAGGACAAGTAAATCAATTGTTCAATTAGAAGTAAGTAAAAACAACCCAATGTGGACATAGAAATATTCATCACTTTCATTTAAATAAGGCTAATACAATTCTCATACAAATAGAATAATACATATACAGCTGCTTAGGGAATACATAAGCAAACAACCAATCATTATAGTAATATGATGTGGGTCAAACAGAAAAAAGAGAAGGAAGTAGCTTCTAACCAATGTCTCAATGATTGTAAACATTAAACAACTTGCTTATTTGTAAAGAATGCATAACATAAAAAGATATGGTCCTCCCAGCAATTTTCTCAACATTACCTCTAAATTGGGTAGTCTTCAAACCACAGCAAATCAGTATTATTAATTTCGCACCACACGATGGATACAATACCTTGGCTCCAAGCATTATCAATGACAAACACATCAAAAACATGGGATACAATCTCTGATTATGAACAATAAAACAATTCAAATATGTGCGCGTTGGAAAACATGAAGGAATTTCAAAAGCAATGAACACCAATCATCAACTCACTCAACAACCCATCCAATGTTTTTTATTATACATCAGCTTACCAAATGAAATGGATCAGCATGAATCTCTACACTTAATAAAAACATAACTTCATGAACCAACCTTTTCAGCGACAAATTTCGATCAATTTGGAGCAATTAGTAACCTCGTGTCTTTTCATACTGGAGAAAATTATACCGTGGCGACACTTCCCGAGTGGCATATTTCAGCACCAAAGACACTTCTTCATAAATATGGTCACATTCAGCACGAGTCAAACCAAATCATCAATCCTTCAGTTGAAAAAAAATACATATATGCAACACAAGTGGGAGTGGACAAAATACATTATGTACCACATAGGGACTCTCCCAGTTGAAAAATAATAAGCAGAAGAAACACCACTAGAGATTATTATCGCTCGAAACTACTGCAGCAAGCCCGTAATGTTTGATTGTCAATACTCCATCAAAGCTGTTTCAGTGTCTGATAAGGGCGCTGTAAGAGAATAGACACAAAACTTGCAATGAAAACGTAGTACAAGGTGAAGTATTAGATAAAGAGAGAAAATGAAAAGGTCAAACATGAGGGGAAAACAAAATTGCTGTGCTACATTCATTTACAGGTGTGTCAACTCGGATGTGGATATGTCATGGAAAAAAATAAATAAAGCATTTAATGATCTTGAATAGTAACTTCGAACATGACAACGAAGTATTGCCACAAAGCAGGAAAAACAGAAATGTGTCAGCAAGAAAAATCAATTATGACTAATATCAACATCACAGAACAAAATTGACATGTGCAAATTCATCATACCAAGCAAATCCTCGTAAGAATCTCCCAAAAGCGCTGCATCCATTAATAACGGAGGTGAGAAAACTTGATCCTGAGCTTCATCGACAGCATAAAATTCCCTACAAGCTTCAGAAACTGGCGAATTTGAGCCAAAAGCAGGAAGGAAACCCTTATCACTGTCAAATTCATTGTGGGACTCCAATTCCTTCAACATGTCTGTCACTAAACGTTTGCTCCCAAGATCATTATCTTTAGAAAGCAAGGAAGAATCTACTTGAGATGTGAATAACTGTCTACTCTTTAGAGAGTTATGTTTCTTATCTTGGCCATGGCGGGAAAACCCAGCCCCAGAAAGTGGTACAAAGAAGTGCTCTGAGCACTCATTAGGGTTACTATCTAGTGATGACTCCACATTGCATGATTGAGAAGAAAGAGCCGCTTCCCTAACTGATCTCTTTAGGTTTTGCAGAAAGAGAAAGTCCTCATCTGTAGATATAACTAAAACAGAAACTGTAAGTGACAACTGACAGATGCAAAAATATCAGAAATGAAGCAACTAATCACAAACCATGTGTTGAATTATCAATGAGACTGTTTGATGGAGGCTGATCCACAAAGTTCTTCTCCATTACAGTTTCTGTGGGATTTGTTTCGGCCACAATATGACGCTTTTGTGTATTCCCACCTTTTCCAGAAGAACTTGGTGTTGAGCTGAATAATGGCGGCAGTTTCAAAGTAGGAGGGCTAGCTGTCACCTTTTCAAGCTGAACAGACGACAATCTAGAGACTAATTCCTCATCAGTACTACTTCCCTGCACATTAAAATATTTTACCAAGAGAAGTTTTCAAAACCTATTAAATCTGAATACAATAATCTCCAGACTATTTTCACACCAAAAAAAAAGGAAAATTTAAAATAATTACCAATGTCCTCCCGTTGCTCTGCGCCTGGACAGGTGAGTTTGATCGAATCTTCATAACAGGAGGTAGATTGGATGATATGCTGTGGACTTCCTCAGTAAGTTCTTTTATTGAGTTTTGTATGGTTGGACCAACATCCTTTAGTTGATTAATCAGCACCTGCACATAACCCTAAATAAGATACAACACTATTCCAATGGCCTAGAATATCTGATGTATCAATACTTCAAATGACAAGCATATTCTGTAAATTTCAAGGAACAATCAACAAGATACAGAGTAATTATTTTACCAAGAAACTATATTGGATATTCATACAAATCAGATTTACCTGTATGCTGTCTAGGTGCTGCCTATGTTCAGCCAGTGTTGCTGCCAATGATTCGGCATGATTGCTAGTACTACCGTCATGCACACTCCGTAGTAGCTCTGGACCATGTCCATCATTGGCTTTTGCCTGCAACACAATCAACGTAAATTTAACAAACTGGATTGGCACCAAAATTTATTTATGCATGGAAAATAGGTTTACAGCTGATACATCTTCTCTAGAATATTCATGCACAATAGCTCATAATCCACTCCAGGGACATCTTAAATGATAAATGATTCATTGACAAAGTAAAAGCTGGATTGGAAGAAAAGAGCATACTAGTTGGAGTGATTGCTTATGAATGCGCTGCAACGCATGGGTCCAACGTCGCAATATTTCAGCAATATCAACAGTGGGTTGTCCTCTCGTACTTTTCTCATCTAGTCGAGAAAAGTTTTCTTCATTTCCATTAGTAGGAGAATATTCTGATTTACTATTAAGATCTTGTGAACTCTCCTTTTCATCATTATCTACTTGTGGAGTCATATTACTAGAAACTAAAGAACTTTGATCCATTGCTGCAAGCAAAGACGACCCAGAGATACGATACCTGGAAAAAATGTCAAGCATAGATATAAAAATAGCTAATCAGCATCAATGCACCACTCATGATAGGGATATATTACCTATGCTCACGGTGAGCTATAAGATCCTCAATTGGGCCTGAAGCAAGGACCTCATGTTGACCTGTACAAATAACATATATATAAGGCTTTTACTAAAGCAAAGAGTGGGATAACATAATGTATGTCATTAATTACTCATCTCACATCCGCACAATAGAAAGGAACACAGTGACTATTAAATACCGAAAGATCAGAGTACCATACTGCACATCAGGTGTATTTGAATGTGCTGAATACTACAGAGAAAATTGGGGTGATGTTCAGAGTGCAATTCCGATTCGGTTTAAACTTTTCCACTTTTCGTTTCACTAAAGATTTTTTTCAAAGTACACTATTCACTCATCTCACTTTTCCCTCCTCGATTTCATCAGTATAGTTTTTTAAATATATTTCAATCAATACTTACACATTTTCCTGTAAAATATATTTCTCATCCACTCACGCCTTTATAACTACCACTAATTATTTATTTTCACATCAAATCAACTTTGATAATTTCATTTCCGTCTTACACCAATTACACATTCCAAAATCTCCCCAATCTCCCCAAAACATTTTCCAAACACTTAAGCTAGTGAAATATGTTTCTGCCAATGAAAGCATATTCAATTGCACCCTTAGAGGTTAGTGGACAAGCAATTGTACACATTGACTACCCAAAGTTTTTAATGCAACATCTCATTATGAGTCATCAAAAGACATCTAAACTATGAAGTAATAATGGGCTTCAATATGAAGATAATTCAGCAGAAAAAAAAAAAATTGATTTCTGTTCACGCCATCTCATAGCTGCATAGAGAAGCAAACTGGGATAACAACCAGCTACTTAGACTTACTTTTGCGCGATAACAATGATTCCCACAATCGAGATGCTCTTTGAACTATGTGTGAATTTTGACTTGAGCTAGATACGAGCTCATCCCAGAGCTCACCCTCCAGTTTGACTTTGTTTCTTAAATCATGTAGTTTTTCAAGCTCTTGCTGGAGATATGCCTATCAAAAACACCCCAAAGAAATGCATCACAAAGTCTTCCTTTCATAAACAGCATATGCCAGCATTATGCTCAAAAGGGACAATAGTAAGATATCTTTTACCTCTTCAGCACACAGACCACGAAATTCTGCTGTCATTTCATGAGCCAAATCCGACCACATTGCCTGCCTTTGAACTGCAGTCTCTGCATTTTTCAGGAACCTTCTTCTTTCGAGAGCTATTCTAGCCTGTATTACAAATGAATCAATTGAGAGCTTCATATAACATACATAATCTTGAAACAATTTTTGAGATCCTTAGTTAAAGATAGTAGAATGTCCTGCAGTAAAAGATAAGTAATGGTCTAGTTCATCATCGTTGTAGTGTACGGTTTCGTGAATGACAGGTGTTTTTGTTGAAAATGAGATACAGAACTACAGCAGAAAGGAGTAAATGCCTGATGAATGGGAAGCAATTCGTCGATAATTGATATAGATAAGAAAGTTAACAAGAAAATATTTCACTCTTTCTAAGATGGTTAACTAAGATCACGAGGCACCTGGACCTGAGGTGAATGATACCTACAATATGTTAATGAAAAGACAAATGAATAACCTTGGTTACAGGAAGTAGTGTAGCTGCATGAGAAAAGGCGACATCAGTTAATGGAGCAGGCAGTGGATTTGATGCTACATCAGCCGCAAATGTTCGCCTATGCACCTCCCTCAGAGCGTGCAGGGAAAGTTGCCATAATAATTCGACAAATCTGCACAGGTACGAGAAAATCTAGTTACCTCTTGCATAAAACACCATCACTTGAAAATTGTAAGCATTTCAAACACAGTTGAGATCCAAAAATGATGAGAAAGGGACCATTGCAGGCAAAAATATTAGTTTTTACCAAGGAATCTCAGCTATTCCAATGGTTTAAGTAGCTTATCAGTTATCTTATATTGCTCAAACAAGAAAAATGTCTTAGTCTGAAATTGGTTTGCGCAAATCCAACTGCTAACCAAACATATGGCCGATTTGTGAAGGAAACTAATAACAATCAATGGCCCCTCAAGTCAAGTGGAATTTATTAACAAATTCTGAGATACGTTAAACTCTTCCATCTTAAACAGCCTGTTTTAACAACTTGCATTGGGTAAAAAGTTCTTTTATCCAAAGTCGCAGCAAAATTCTATCTGACCGAAAAAAATTATCTTCAACCAGCTTCTAACTGCTATTCAAGCTTTCCACCAGTTAAACAACCTCAAGCCCATAGTACTCTACCATGACGATTTATATCAAACAAAATAGGTAACTACAAAAATTGAACCAATTAACAACTCATAGAACAACAAATATTCATCAAAGAAAATCAGCTCGAAAAGGTTAATTAATTTAGACACTCACTGAACTCCGAGTAAACTAACCTTGGACCGCAGCAAGTTGCAAGAGATGAAACCCTCGAATTACTTCTAGGCAGTGCTCCTTGTGATTCCAGTTCACTAATAATCCCTTGCACCACCTTAAAAATAAATAAATAAATAAATAAATAAATAACAGGTAAAGGGTCAGTATAAACTATTATAACTTCAAGTCAGAATGAACATATACTTTTATACAGGCAAATCCAAGAAATTCCCACAATCGTTACCTTCCGAAAATCCCTAGACTGAGCTGAATCGAAAATAGGCCACACCTTATCGAAGTCCTGTAAAAAGGGATCCACGGTCAGAATATCTACATTTACAGCATTGAAGAACAAAAACGATGTGTGCACAACTGAAGAAGATAAATTTGCCGGGACAGATTTAATTGATAACGCGTGCAAATTTCAAAATTCCAAAATAAACAATTACAAAAATAAGAGATGGAATATGCCTTGGCAGATTGAACTGGGCCGCGGAGAGATGAGAGAATGAAGTACAAAAGCTGTTCGCCCAATTTGGGGTTGGAATGGCGGAATAGCCCGACCCGATGGGCGCCGTTGTTCGACCCGATTCCGATAATGGTGGGATCCAAACCCAGGAGCAGGCAGTTTGTGTACATAGCACTCTCGAGCTCAATCTCTCTCTCCTTCTCCCGGTCCATCGTCATTCCACGCAGACCACACCCACTGAGCTTGAATTTCGGGTGGTTTTTCCCGATCGGAGTTTACTGTTTCCGTTTCTGATTTATATCTGATTTATTATTATGTTTTTCTCCCCGTTGTAGTTTTGAAAATTTTGAGGCCCTTAGTGATAGTGTAAATTACGAAAAGGTCCTAAAATCATCGAAATGTTACTATTATAATAAGATTTGTGTCCTCGTATTTCCTACTATATCTATATCGAACCTGGAATTGGTTGGGTTATTGTGCATTCCCTAGTATGGTACCGTAAACTAGACCGGTAATTAAATATATAAAAATTTGTACAATAAAAAATTTAAATAATTTATATTTTTATTGTCAAGACATATATAATGAATATGCAGTAATAACAAATAACTAATAACGTGACAATTATTTTAAAATGGCACCCGTATTTTACATTAAAATTGTTAAAAATGATATTTATTTTGTATTTTTAAAATTATATTTGTCGAAAACAAGTATTATTTACAACTCCACAAACTGATTCAATTTTATTTAAAACAAAACAAGTTTTATTGTATTGTAATCATTTTTATATTTATAGAGTTGGTGTCTCTCGTTTATTAATTTTTCAAGAATTTTAAATTCATACTATTTAATAATTTAGAATATTAATTTACGCATAAATGTTTTTTCTAACTTTATGAAGCATAAAATTATTTTATTATTTCTAATTATGATATTTTTTATATTTATTATTTTAAACAACATAACAATATTTTGTTCTTTATATGATCCATAAGAGTGTGTTTGGTAAGCACATGAGCTAGCTTTTAGCTTATTTGCTTAGCTTATAAATTTTTTGTATACAACTAAGGTTGATTTGGTATAACGCGCTTTTTTTTAAAAAAAAAACATGCTTGTCTCATAAACTTTTTAGGTAAATTTTTAAATAAGTTTATTGAAAATTTTAATTTAGTTGGTTTATTAGTTAATTTTATGAAACAATTTTATCACATCAACTAGTTTTTCAACCATAAGTTATTAACTATAAACTCGAAATTCACATATAAGCTATCAGCTAAAAGTGTGTTTGGTGATCACCGTAAACTAGCTTATATAGCTTATTTGGTTAGTTTATAAACTTTTTGTATACAAATAAGATTGGTTTGATATGACGAGTTTTTTTACAAAGTTCGAGCTTATCTCATACGTTTCTTTGGGTAATTTTCAATTAAGCCCGTATAAATTTGTATTTCATCTAGCTTAGATTTTAATATTACCAAACACTTTATCATATCAACTAGTTTTTTAGCTATCGACTATAGGTCTGAAATTCACTTATCAATTATCAGCTAGTTTTATCAAATATATGCTAACTTATTACCTAGTACTACCAAACATACACTAAGAGTGTGTTTGGTAAGCACCATAAATTAACTGTTGGCTCTATAGCAAAACCGATAGTCTAATTGGTTAGCTTATAAGCTTTAAGTATACAAATAAACTTAGTTTGGTAGGATATTTTTTTTTAAGTATGAGCTTATCTCATAGATTTTTTTGTACCTTTTCAAATAAATCCGATGAATTTCAGCTGACTTATCAACTAATTTTACCAAACACTTTCAGCATATCAACTAACATTTCAGTCATAAGTCATAAGCTAACAATTATAAGCTCGAAATTCACTAAAAAGACTAGGCATAATTGCATTAATTAGCCTTTGTGGCCTAGGTGAAAAATAGAACTAACTATTGTGTTGAGATGACTGCTGCACAAGTTTTGTTTACGCACAATTTTTAATATAATCATTAGGCGGGTTGATCCATAATAAAGGTGCAATTTTATACACGAGAATTGTGGAATCAAACCATACGAAACTTAAAATAGCTAGTTCAATTTCATTATAAGAACAAAAAATCCGATCCTGTCACTTCTTGCCCAAACCAGTTCTGATTATGGTGCCTTTCCAAATGCATGTCTATTAACCGAGGAACCAACTAGATGTGCACAATATAAATGCTTTATAATGTTATGTATGTGAATTGTTCCGGTTCTTGATATTTATAATTTAGTTTTTCATTTTTGCATTTTAGTTCTTGATTTTTATGATTTTTTTAGTGAAGGTTATAATATTTTGATCAGTTCTTAACTCAAAATCAGTTATTATCGGTTATTTTTATTAATTCGGTCACCTAAAAAATTGGATGAACCGAACCGTTATAACAAGGTTCATGTTTTTTTCCTATGAATTTTTATGTGTTAGCCGAGCCAGTTATTTTGTTTTTGTTTCAGTTACTGAAAAATATTATGTGAATAGAACAGATCCGAGACCTATTCCACAATACTTTTTAACATAAATGTATATTTATGTCATGAGGTATCTTAAGTTTGTGTATGCTATTTTCACTTAGTATGGAATTTCACTTTTAAAATATGCATAATTATTAAAAAAGTATATTGTTGCATAACTAGGTAACATTAGTTGCTTTAATTTAAATTTAAAAAGAAAAAAAGTGACACGAAAGTTGAGAAAATTACACCACTAACCATCAAAAGCAATTTTATTTACACATTTACTCATCATTTATTTTTTTTTGCAAATATACTAACAATTAAATTGTCTCTCATCATTTTTCTCTCTTTCCTTTTTACTAATTATACTACCTGTGATATTTTCTCTCTCTCATTTTTTCCAACGGTTCAACTTCCTCCATGGAGGCCCCACAACTCTCCACCACTCCCCCACGACAAGGCCCTCACATACGTCGGCGGCGATACTCGCATCGTCGTCGTTGACCGCTACGCCACCCTCTCCGACCTCCACCGTCGCCTCTCTAGGAGCCTCCTCCGCGATCAGCCTTTCTTTCCATTTTTTTTTGTGAACTGGTGATGACAGTATATGTTGCGTGTATAGGCTGTATATGTTCAGTATATTATGTATATATTATGTATAAACAAATCCGGTATATATTATGTATATATCTTCTGTATATATTTTTTGTATATATTCTGTATATATTATGAAAAGATCGGACCGTATATGTTCAATATATTCTGTATATATTATGTATAAACTAATCAGTAAATATTATGTATATATCTTGTATATATATTTTCTGTATATATAATGTATATATTACGAAAAGATCGTGTATTTTCTGTTTCAGTACAAGAAAATATTAGAGTCAATTTTGAGTATTAGATCGTGTAATTTCAAAATCTGATCATTTTCTTTTTTTTTTTTCAAAAACAGATCGTGTATATAACATCAAGACGACTGAGTTAATAGACTTCCTTTTTTTTCTTCAAAACAATTAATGAGCTAATTGTGTGATTATAGGAAGTGTGTTATTTTGGTAACGGATTCATTTTATTCTTCCATATTAAATGCATTTTTTTAGGTACATATGTAAATAAAATCCTTCTCCTTGTAGGATTTCAATTTCTTTTTATCTTGTGGTAAGTAAAAAATTTCGCCACGAAAGTTACCCTGTAAATGTGGGCCGGCCCTGATAGGTGAGCTGGGTAATCATTCTTTTCTTTTTTGACATGTATCCAAGTATCCAACAAAACGAGGTAGCGGGTTACAGCGCCCGCATCTGACCCGACCCATTCCAAAGAACAGTGCTTTGAACCTCTAAGATATATCAACAAACCCGAGAATATTAGAACACTGTCAACGAATCATTCAGCTGCCTTTCGCATCGCTCATGACATTTGATTATTCTCCAGCGTCGAAGCGAGGGAAGTTCACCACTATTTCGCCGATGGAGTATGAATCTGCTAAAGTAAAAGTTTATCCTTACCTTTTCCCACCCCAATTTTCGTACGTTTTCTGATTTTGATTGACGATTTTTTCGATTAATTTGTGTATTTCCATGGCGGTTTCTTCATTTTCCGATTTAATTCACCTGCGATTTGATCCCACCGTCTGCTAATTTTGAGTTGCTTTTATGTGCTTTTGCTTGAGTTACAAATGTAAGTAATCCTGAATCGTAGTGACCATCTTTTTCTTCTTACTACTAGGATAGATTTCTTGATTTTAAATATTTAAAGTCTGGTTGTCTGGCGTTGGATCTTGGTTGATAGAGTGTGAGAATGAGTTGTTCTTTCTGTTGCTGTATTGATTTTGGATTGAAATTTCACAATCAGTGAACATGGAGTTTCGTGACTTCGTTTTAATTTTCGCATCATAATTGGACTTGCTTGTATAGTGCATAGGCTTAGGTTCTCTTGCCTGAGATATGATCGTAAACAATTGTGAAGTTTGATTTTGAAAAAATGGGAACGTTCTTTTGATATCTTAATCATACCACTAGAATTAACACAATGAACATCTGCTCGTTTTAGTTTATTTATTTGAGCTGTTTGAATATTGGACATTTCTTGAAATAACTCGTTCTAAAGTAGTTGCTATAAGTCTAAATGAGTCATCACAAGAACACACTTGCGAACTCTGGATATATTTGTGTTTCTTGGAGAGCTATGAATAACACTTTCGCCTGAATAAAATAAAAGCAACTCTTGAGGTTTTGCTTAAATTCATGATAATCATATTTACTTGATCGATTATTATTTCAAAGATTATCTTTAACAATCTCAGAGAAAAGGATGCTAAATATTAAAATATTTGCATCATCCATAGGGGCATACAGTATTTCTGGTAAGACAGCTATTTATCTTATATTGGCAATCCCAGTCTGAAAAAAACTTTGCATGATCTAATAGCTGAAGCAGTCGTTGTCATATATTGCTGGTGCCTTTTGATCCCATCCATGAAAAAAGATGTAGAGCATTCTATGTTTTGATTTCGAAGTTTCATGTTGTGTGGCAGCTTGGCTATGCAATATGATAATAAGTTTTTTCAATCTTGGTTTTCTAGGCGAGGGTTGAAGCTGTGAGAGAGAAGTATGGAAAGGAAATCCGAGTATTTGAAACATCCTTAGCTTCTGGAACACCTAGCACTGTATCTGATGCTGGTAAGTCATTTAGTTTTTATAGTATTTCCTGTTGATTTTTAGCTAATGATATGATCCATGTTTTCGCGTTTAACATGCTCAGAAGAGACGGATGACTTTTACGAGTTCACACCAGAGGACTACTACCGTCTGTTGGCAGCTAAAAAGGAAGGTAAGTAATGTACAGTTTTGAAATTTTCAGTTTAGTGAGATCCTAAACCCTAGTTGATCTTTCAGTTTTTATTACAATCGGGTGCTTGTAGTAGATTAATGCATCTAAAATTCCTTCCATTTATCCGTTGTGGAACTATGCAGATAAATATCTGAAGACGAAAAAAATTAGGGATGCAGAAACTGCTGCTCGCAGGTCAAGGTTTACAAAGGTGTTACTTTAGGAATTCTTTGCGGGCAATTTTTTTCTTCTAACTTTAAGGTTTATATTTGTTATTGGCTCGATCTTTTAAATAATATCGTTCTATTCTAGCAGGCTGTCATAAGAGTACGTTTTCCTGATAATCATACGCTGGAGGTTTCATTTCATCCTTCTGAAACGATTCAAAGTTTGGTGGATCTTCTAAAGAAAGTGTCTGCCCATCCGGAGTTGCCCTTCTATCTGTGTAAAGATATATTACCGCATTCTTTTTCTTAGCACAATTAATTGTGATCTTGCCTGAAAGACGCTAATCAGGTAGTTAAATTGAAGCTGACTAATGCTAAGATTTTCTTTTGTTTTAGATACCACACCTCCGAAAAAGCAAATAAAGGACATGTCTCAGGATTTTTATACTGCTGGATTTGTTCCTGGTGCAATTGTGTACTTTGCGTATGATGTGCCAAAAGGTAATACACATTCTCTGAGATAATGGGTCATTTTCAAGTCTATAAACCGAGTTGCTATAATCCTGGTTGAGACTAAAGATGTCAGTGAATATCTTATCTTATGACCAAAACTATGTCTTATCCATTGAAGAAAGAATAGAACTTTTCATAAGGGCCGAATTTATTTTTTATTTCAATAATTTACGATAGCGACCTGTAACTTATAGCCTAGCTACAATGCAAATCTAAAATATTTCAAAATTGCACCCTTGTGGTCTTATACCCCTCTCGGCCGTTGATGTTTGTATATACTTGACAAATGCCCTCTGTTATTGAGGTGCAATTTGAAATTTTGAAACAAACGTCAGGTAGGCACAATTATGGAAATATAGTTGGAAATCTCTGTAATTGACTGCACTTGTACTATGCCTTTTGAATTATTCTCTATGTTTAACAAACTCGACTGTATTGGTAACAGGTGTTCAGTAAATCTCTAGTTAAAATAGTTTCTTCTAGAAAATTCCAACCAATTCCATTGTTCACCATGGTTCTGTAAATTTTCTAGCTCGTCTTTATAAATATCATCCTTCTCACCAATCTTCTCTGTATATTTTACCGTGTTTCTTTAGGTGATTATGGTGCTTCATTTGCCGGTCCCTACCTTCAAAATGATGTCATGTCTTTGAAAGGTTTGGAGTTTGTGGCTCAACAGGCTGAGCCTGTGTCCAAGCCCCCAACTGAAGGTCCTGAACCTGTGACAACAACTGGCCCATCTGTTGGGCCTGAGCTAAAGCCCAGTGACAAAAAGAAGATCAAACCCAAGTGGTTGAAAATGTGATTTTAGATGCATCATGTGGTTAAACCCTGCTGTCTTTTCTCTGGTTTTTGTTACTGTGAGTCTGTGACCAGTTTCCGGTTTAAAAGATAGTTGACGATCTGAAACGAACATTTATCAGCAAGTTTCTGTGAATATTAATGTTCTTTTGGTGTTAATCAACCAAACTGAACCCAGTTTGTGTCGTTTGGATCTCAACAAGGGAAACAACTTTGGGGTTTAAGTTTTGTATGATGGGCTTATAGACTTTAGATATAATGGTGAATATTACGTACTTTGTCTCCATTAAAGATGGCTCTTTGATTTAATTAGTGGTGATCATTGACCCGGATGAATAGATGAGTTGGATAAAGTTGAACAAATTCTGCAGGCATTTTATATATTCTCAAACAAACAAGAAAATTATTCATATAGGTAGTTAAGTACCATGTTCCGGACCCTGAGTATTAGTATTACAAGTCGATTATTCCATGTTTATTTTATGCCATAATGTATACATCTTTTATGAAATTATTTCTATTTTTCTACAACTTGGATATTTTAAGTAGGTAATGCAAATTAAATACTATACACATGTACCTGGCTTGAAGAAGTAAACCTTTTCATGCACATGTAGTATTGTAGTTGATGCCATATTCTCAATTGCTAATAAATATTTACAACACCCAAACATCAAACCTACAGCTGACGTGTTTGTTACGTATAACGGCCGTTTGAAGCTTTAGGGCCGCAGATTGTATTAATTGGTGCTACCGAGTACCGCCAGGCGCCAACTCTGTATGAATCAGATTTGGCGAAAGCTACAGAAACTCGAATTAAGCCAACACACTTGGTCCACATTTTTTATTTTTTTTCATTTATTCAGGTTTAGGTCATCGAATTGGTAATTTAATTTATTATTTTTAAATAGTGCTATTATTGTCATCTACTTTTTTCTTTACAAATCCCACTCACACAATTAAAAATCTCAAACTCATCTCAATATCAAACTTATCTCATATTTTTTATAAATTAATGTTTTCTACTATTTTACCTCATTTAGGAATAACAAATTTTCATTTTCTTAACTCACTTCTTTAGACGATATATATATATAGTGTTAATACCACTAAATAGCCAAACAAGTTTTCAAAACACAAATTTTAGCCACCTTTTGTAGAAAACATCTTTATTAGCCATTTTGGCTAGTGTTTTTACTCAATTACCCCTAACTTCAATTTTTCAATTCAATTTTTTTTTTTTTGGCATATCAGATTTTCATTTACCCCCAAAATCCAAATTTCATTTTTTCATTGCCCCCATTTTCACGCTCTCTCTCCTCTCCTCTCCTCTCCTCTCCGGCGACAGCTTATTTTCACGTTCTCTCTGTGCAATTTTTCTCTCCTCTCCGGCGACCGCTGCTCCTCTTGTCTCCCACAACTCAATCACCCGCGCTGCTCCTATCGTTGCTCCTCTCCGCACCCGACACACCTGTACTGCTCCGACGCACCTGTACTGCTCCGCCGCACTGCTCCGACGCACCTGTACTGCTCCGCCGCACTGCTCCGACGCACCTGCTCTGCTCCGCCGGCTTCCTCAACCTCTCATTGCTTCTCAAGGTGCGGCTGTTTAGTTGTTTAAGGCTTGATTAGGATTTTTCATATTCTTTTTTCTTCAGTAAAAGAATGATGTTTTTGGTTGAAATGGGGAGGTATCGAATTAGGTTTTTGATTAGGGTCGAATTGATTATGGTTTTCTTCACTGATTTTTTTATTATATTTTTCTCGACTTCAACTCCAATCTCATTCGAATGGGGTGCTACTGACCCTGCATTTTTTATTTTACTGTATTTGTAGGTTGTCTCTTCATGATTTAGCATTCACCTCTTAAAGTGATGTGTTCAAATTGGGGATTGTCAATTTTTTTCTTCTTTAGGCATTTATCGGTGGAGAGGAATCGGTCCACGTACATCCGGCCTTTCCCCGAAACTTTGCGAGTTTCCAAGTAGCAGCCGCCGGTCACCTTGTTTGTCATAAGTGTCACCACTGCCGCCTCCAGTCGCAGGCCCTACGTTTCTCCCAGTAAATATCATCAGTGTTCTTTAACTATTTTGCGTGTTATCCACCTACGATTCATTTTTTGCGGTTTACTTTTTTGCTCTGATTGATGAACTTTTTTGGTCCATATTATGAGACTCGGCTACAGCTCAATTATCTTTATTCTCTATACTCTTTCAATTTTCTCGAATGCTTTTGTTGATTGTGATAGTGGGCTTGAAGCTTTTAGCTTGACTGTTGAAAGGACGAGTATAGGCCAAGCCACTAGATTAATGTAAAATTAGAGTATAAAAAATATCCAATTTTTATATTAGATTTGGGGCAAAGGGGTGATGGGTGTTTGGAGCAGTGGTGAAGTTTCAGAAATGAAAATTGATTTTTTTCCCAAATATTTAAAGTGTTGTCCCGTAGATCGAATCTTAATGCATTTATCACTTATGGTGTCACGCGTTACTTTAAAAGAAAGGTTGTCTACATGATTGGAGTTTGCAGCGTACTCTTCATTTTTCTCGATTGCATTTCGTAAAATCTATATGAGTAATCTGTTTATGCCATTTGTCTCTCTTGTCACTTGTCAGCATATTTACTGTGTTTCTTGAACGCCACGAATCGGGATAGCCATATTAATTTTGAAGGACTGTTTATACTTATCTGTCAAGCTCATAAGCTTAAGCATATAAATCCATCACACTATATACGTAATATGTGTTGCATACTTGAATCTTTCTGTGGCCTGTTGGTATGGCTATCATGCAGTTGCTATGTATTAATTTTCAGAGAAGTACGTTCAATTCATAAGGCTTTTGGTATGTGTTGGTTGAGGTTTAAGAAAGAAGGGAAATGAAAAGCATGCTTAAGTTGTGTTTGAACCTTGTTTTGCCTTATATGTTGCTGTGCATTTTATGTGATTTATTTGCTGTTTTTGTGGTTTTAAAAGAGTTTAAGTTCAGTTCTTAATTACCTTTAATGTACCTGTGATTTTGAACGAAAAAGAGAAGGAAAAAGAAGGGTTAATTTGAGGCTTGAATGTGTGTTGATTTGAATCCTATTGTTGCACTATTTGGTTGAGCTTTTATGCGTGTATATGTTGTTATTATGTGTATCTATTTGAGGATAAATCTCAGTTCTAATAGCCTTTAAGTTGCCTTAGAAATTTTAGGAGAAAAATAGAAAATTGATGTTTGTGTGATGAGTTTTAAGCCGTGTGATTAGCTTCATTTTGTGAGAGTTAATTGCTGATCTTTTTGGTGACTGTTAGCTTGCTGAAACTGTATAATTTCATAAGTTACATTTCAGTTTTAAGGCCTTATGACTTGTGGTTTGAGCATGAGAAAAAGAAAAGGAATTTTAAAGCATGTTTGTGTTTATGCTTGGTCTTTGTTTTTATGATTCCTTGCTATAGCCTTTTTGGGTGTTTCAAGCTGTTATTGTGCATTAATTTTAGAGGTTTATTTCAGTTTGGAGGCCCTAAGGGTTGCTTGAAGGTTTTGAGAAAAAGAAGAAAAAAGAAAGCATGTTTATGTGTTGTGTATGAGCTATTGTTTTGCCTTGTTTGCTGTGGCTTGTACATGCGAATTATATGCTGAGTTATATGCTTATTTTGTGCCTATTTGCTGAAGTATATGCTCAGTTTTTTAAGCCCTGTTTTATTGGTTAAATTGGAGAGAAAAGAGAAAGAAAATGAGACTTTTCCGAGCCTGGAAACTCAAGCTAAAGAGAGAGAAATTATATGGCTTTATTTGTTCAATTTGTCTAATTTATGTGCTTTTATCTGCTTAACTTTGTTTGCATTATGTGCCCGTAATTGTTTTATTTTCCGTACTTGTTGTCTGTTAATCAAAACCCTAATAATAAGACTTAATAATCAAAATGTACATTAAGAGAAGTCAAGCCCTCACGCAAATGCACATGCATTTATTTCATTCAAGTGCAGTGAGTCAAAAGGTGGGGTAGGGAAGTCTATACTATGTTTTATTCTTTATAATTATTGCGATTATTATGGTATCTGCAGGTTACATGAGATATTTTGTCCGCAAGGGCTAAGGCCGATAAAAAGGCAGTATGATGCTACCTAAAAGACGGTGATGTCGCCTATGTGATGTTGCCTGGCGAAATATTATGATGGTTTATGTCTTATGTCGTTATCATATTATCTGCTAATTATTCACTTATATTGTCTTATATCTCGATGCAGTCTTTGGCGCTGGCTCATGTTGATATTGATCATGGGAAGGTCGTGTTTGTCCCGTCGGTCAAAATAGATTTCTAAACTAGTGACAACCCATGGTGGTTGTAGAACTCTTGAATTTTAATCAGATAGTTTGTTGTATATTCACATCGACGTTATCTATCATGAAAATTTTGTTGTTATAGACAATTCAAAATATAGTCTTGCTGTTAACACACTTTTATGTATATCAAAATCAAGTTTTATGTATGAAAAATGAAACATTTTTTTTCTTTTTCAATTTTGGATTTGATGAGATTCAGAAATCAAAACTGTCAGTACTCCTTTTGAGTTGGATATGTTGGGGACGGTTCGAACTTTGACCCGTTTGAGAGCTTAATTTGGGTCATATTGAATGTGCAAGCAATGTATGATAAAATTAGAAGAAAATTCGTATATTGACAACTGTTATAGAATGCCAATTGCCATCAAATGTAATGAGACTTGTTATATTGAGTAATATTTTTGGCAAAAATTTGAAAAATTTTGCCTAAATTAATGTACATAATCATTTTTTTTAAGAAAAATTGAAAATGGAACAATAGTGTGTGCCTGTGCCATTTGTTTTGTTTTAGTTCTGCTTTCTTATTACCCCTTCATGTTAAAAACTAAACTTGTTTATCATATCGTGTAGTTAATGAGGCAAGCTCAGAAGCTCGAGTATCAGGTCGAGATTGGCTCGACTTGTTTAATGATCGCTGCTTCGATGTATCTACAATTTTGTCACATTGTTTGCTTACACGGACACTGGTGACGATTATCTGTATATTGTGAGTTGAGGTTTATATATCATTAAAATTTGGGGGAAAAAAAAATATGATACAAATATTTATACGATTTTGTAAGGTCTGTGAGAGGAAGACACAGACACGTATCGTGGTCATCAAGAAGTGAGATCGATACTCACACGTGTGTTTATCTCCACAAACAATGTCATGAACTCTATTTAAAAAGTCTTCATACGACAAACTCCCAAAACGCATAAAGTTCATCTCTGCTTGTCCATTTTTATAAACATTCTCATCCCAAAATCCGCTATGCACAATTCGAACTTTTTCACACATCTGTAAAACAAAGATGCAAAACTATTTTACTGACAAATAATTCCCAATAATTAGTAATTAAGCAATCAATGTTTAATAAAACAAATAAAATTTGGAATAGAAATGATTTTTAGAATCACAGAAATGATTTATACGATTCGAAAACAGATTTCTGGGACCAGAAATCAAATTTCTGGGGTACATCATTGGCTAGAAATCAATTTCTGGGTACATAAATCAATTTCTAGTACCAGAAATTGATTTCTGAGACCAGAAATACCAGAAACCAATTTCTGTGTCCAGAAATTAATTTCTGGACCCAGAAACCACTTTCTGGACCCAGAAATCGTTTTCTTAGAAATCGATTTCTGGACCTAGAAATAGATTTCTGGACCCAGAAATCGATTTCTGGGTTTAGAAATCGATTTCTGGACCCAGAAATATATTTCTCGTCCAGAAATCGATTTCTAAATTTCTGGTCCAGAAATCGATTTCTGGACCCAGAAACAGATTTCTAGACCCAGAAATCGATTTCTAGATCCAGAAATCGATTTCTACAGAAAGTAAGGAAATCGATTTTTTGGTCATTTCTGGAGGCAGAAATCGATTTCTGGGACCAGAAACCAGAAATCGCAGAAATCAATTTCTGTGACCAGAAATCGATTTCTTGTTCAGAAATTGATTTCTGAGACCAGAAATACTAGAAACCAATTTCTGTGTCCAGAAATCGATTTCTGGGTATCTTCTGGTTTCTGGGACCATAAATCGGTTTTCTGGGTCCAGAAATCGATTTCTTGGTCATTTCTGGAGACAGAAATCGATTTCTGAGACCAGAAACCAAAAATCGCAGAAATAAATTTCTAGCACCAGAAATCGATTTCGGTGACCAGAAATCTATTTCTGTGACAAGAAATCCCAGAAATCGATTTCTGGGACCAGAAATCAGAAATCACAGAAATCAATTTCTAGCACCAGAAATCGATTTCTGTGACCAGAAATCTATTTCTTGACCCAGAAATCCCAGAAATCGATTTCTGCGATTTCTGGACCAGAAATCATTCAATGTTCAAGAAATTATTCATGCCCACAGAAATCTTTTTTTTTTTTTTTACCAATATTAATGTTATAAATTTGAATACTATATATTTGAGCCATTAACAAAAAAGAGAAATTATAGACATACCTTTACACTATTATTTCCGATTTATCACCGTAATGTTGCCGGAATTTTTGTAATATGGT